GGAGGGCAAGTGGTTAATGCATATAAGGCACCACGTGAGTATAATTACCACCTTAATCATCCTCAGAACCTATGTAACTAATGTGTTCGGTTTTGAAGGGATGCAGTGGCAACCCTATGTGTATGGCTGGCTTTATTAACCCCTAGACGTTGAGCGCATACAAATATGGGCCTCTTGGCGTCTTGATGCCGAGTGGCTGCATATTTGCATACCATTTAAAAATACATATGTGCTGAGTGCACATATGTCCGTGACTCACGGAAAGGTCTCGATCTCCCCTTGCGATTGGGACCTTTTCTGATCATGTGATCACCGTGACAGCCATATGACCCTAAAACCCCGCCCCACCTCCCGACTTCTGAAACCTTTTAAAGGGCCGGAAGGCCTGGCACAAAGGGGTTAAAGTTGTACAGGCTCAAGGTTTTTTACCTTCATGCATTCTGTGCATGAAGGTAAAAAACCTTCTGTATGCAGCAGTGCTCCCAGCCTCCTCAATACTTACCTGAGCCTCATCACGCTCCAGCGATGCAAACGACAGCCTCAGCTGTCCCGGGTCTCTGCCTCCTCATTGGCTGAGACAGCAAGCATAAGCCATTGGCTCTCGCTGCTGTCAATCACAGCCAGTCAGCCAATGAGGAGAGGTAGGGAGCCAAGCCGCAGCTCCATGTGTGAATGGACACACGGAGCAGTGGGTGCCCCCATAGCAAGCTGCTTGCTGTGGAGGCACCTGACACACAGGAGGGGCCAGGAGAGCCTGCAAGAGAACTGAGAAGAGGAGGATCCGGGCTGCTCTGTGCAAAACCACTATGCGCAGCAGGTAAGTATAGACATGTTTGTTTTTTTACAAAAAAAAAACCTTTAGAATCACTTTAAGGGGTAAAATCATCTTTTGTTTATTAATATCAGGATCATAGATGTTTAATTCTGGTCCATATACACATTTTCTGTGACATTAGAATAATCTTTTTTCAGAGGAAATCTTATTGGTATCAGCCACTGTTTCCTTTGTGTATATCGTCATCTGCCTATCTGTAGTCTGTCTCAGTCTTAATATTAGCAGATTAAGTGATCAGTGACATGTCCGGCTTTATGGATATAACTCACAAATCCTATCTCACGCAGTGGCAACAAGCGGTCTCACATGCACACGTCCTTTCCAGGTGCATAACCACACCTGAGTGATAAACAACAGCAATGTCTTACACATCAAAGCCAACATAGACAGCACTCGAGTCCTTTAAGGATGCCTACCCCTGCTGTAGGGTGAAGAGGTGGAGATCTACCTGAACAACATGGAAGAAGTCAAAGATCACCGGGCAGTGTCACCTCCTCACACCTGATTTAAACCTCTAATTGCTGTACTACTGCGTCACAGTTGCGTGCATTGCACAGCAATCATGGGTTTAAATCAGGTGGTAAGAAGGCAACATATTGTCTCCTCACCACCTGTCAAACACTCAGATTGCTTTTCAAAGGAACAGCAGTGTCTGCTGCACTTGTGACTGAGCCCTTAGTTGCATTCAACAGCAGCACCCTTAGGGCTCCTTCACACGTAAAGTTGGGGGGTGGTAAAACCCTGCATTTGAGTTGTGGTTTTACCATCCCCAATCCTTACCCCTTTAGCTGCTGAGCAATCAGCCAAAGATGCACATAGCTGCAGCAGGAATTAAACCCCCTGTTGGTTTTGGTGGGTGCTACCGCCTGCCAATCGTCCAATCGTGACCCATTCAAGTAAATGGGGTCACTCTGCAAGCGCCCCGCAACTGCATGCTTTTGCAGGGTCCAAGAGGGTTAAAGTAGGTGGTGAGAAAGCAACATACCGCTGCCTGTTTAACCCCTTGTTTGCTGTACCGCACAAGGTTGCAAGGCACTTGCAGAGCAGTCTCATTCACTTGAATGGGTAATGCTTGGCAGGTGGTACACCCACCAACCATGACAGGTCATATATATCTCCTGCAGCAGCTGCGACATGTGTACACCCCTGGCCACTGCAGCTAAAGGGGGAGCGGTTGGTTGTTAAAAGCACATCTTATCTATAGTGGGCAGCACAGTGGCTAAATAGTTAGCACTTCTGCCTGGCAATACTAGGGTCGTTGGTTCGAATCCCAGCCATGGCACCACCTGCCTGGAGTTTGCATGTTCTCCCTGTGCCTGCCTGGGTTTCCTCCGGGTACTCTGGTTTCCTCCCACACTCCAAGGACATGCTGGTAGGTGAATTGGATCCTGTCTAAATTGTTCCTAGTATGTGTATAAATGAATGTAAGTTAGGGACCTTTGATTGTATGCCCCTTGAGGGTTAGGGAATGATGTAAAATATATATGTAAAGCGCTGCTTAAATTGATGGCGCTATATAAGTACCTGAAATAATATAGAGTTTTACCAACCCCCAATCTGCAAATGTAAATGAACCCTTACTCAGGGGTGCATAAATTTTTTAAAAAAGCTACTTGTCCAGGGACTAAATCGGTGTCCCAATCAACTTGTCCCTCATGACAATCTATTTGTTCTGATACGGTTTTGGTTAAAATTTACTTTTATTTAAATCTGAGGTGCTTTAAGTAATGTCTGGGCTTTTAAAAACAAAAGGTCCTTAATGGCGACTTAAACATTTAATATTGTTAACATTACGCCATTTATTTCCTCCTCACCTCCCTACCTCTCTCCAGCACTGTACCCGGGGACTAGGAGGGAGGGGAGAGACCTTGTAGTGTAATGAGCACCGATTAGGTGCTCCTCAGGAAAGAGGAGGGTCGGGCTTATCCTTTATCCCTTTCGCTGTCAGAGCTGTTTTTGCGTTTTCTGCACATGTTTAAAAAATCATTTTAGGCCTGAAGATTACACAAAACCCCCAAACATTGTATATTTTCTTAATCACAGACCCTAGAGAATAAAATAGTGGTAGTTCCAATTATTTTATGTCACACGATATTATCACATAGGTCTGGGAAATGCTAAATTTCAGTAAAAAATAAACTTAAGTTAATTTTAGGGCAGAAAAAGCAACAGATCATACAATTTTTTTGTAAAATATAAAAGACGAGGTTGCATCAAGTAAATAGATATGCAACATGGCAAACCTTAAATTTGCGCGCGCTCATGAAATGGCAACAAACTTTAGTACCCTATATTTTCTATAGGTGATGCTTTTAAAGGTCATCAATTTAGCATTACGGAGGAGGTCTAGTGCTAGAATTAATGTTCTCATTTTGGCGTGTGCGGCGATATGTAACATGTTTATCGCAATTGCCGTTTTCATACATAGGCACCCCGGTGTGTGCTTTTACGTTTGTACGTGCGTATAGATGTGGGGGGTGGAGGGACCTCAAAAATTTATTTGAGGGGGTTATATGCTCCGGTGTAACTTTAATTTTAAAAAAAATTAAAAGTCCTCTATGTGATGATTTTTTTGGTGACAGGTTCTCTTTATTGAGACATCCAGGGTCTAAAAGACCCTGCAGGTCTCCCGTTGTACGCCACTGGATATAATGCAGTGTACATCACACACTGCATTACATTCTTTCCTGACCTCGATGGCCGGGACATCTTTCAAAGGAGAACCGAAAGTGACATCACTTCCGGGTGAGGACAAGAAGGGGAGGAGAGTGGATGTGTCTGCTCTCCTCTTTACCCTATACCCGCTGGCACCCACTGAACTGGTTCCGGACCCGCAGATGGGCAAGCGGAGCCTTGGAGACATAGTGGGTGGGGAGAGGTTCACACGCGGGGAGGGCGGAGGCTGGCATTGTAGTGGGCTGTGTGGAAGCAATTGGCCAGCAGCACTGCCGTCCGAATGCTTCCACCTGAAGGATGAGCCCTGCTGCTTGCCCGCAGCACGGTTAAAGATTAACAAAAACTACCTGCCTGGAACTACATGTCCCGGGCATTGGACGATATGAACTGAACATCCCTGCCTCACTGTTCTGAGCCCTCTATAAGGCTGTGGTATATTTTTACCTCTGCGACTTTCCTGGGTTATCTGCGCTTTGTCATAGACTTCTATTATATCCTGCAGGTGTGGTGCACTTTCTGAAAACGCACAAGAACTCCTACATTCAAGATATAATAAAAGTCTATGGCTAAGGGCAGCAAACCCCCAGGAAAGTTGCGGATACACTGCACTGCACCCCTGGTGTGGGTAAACTGCAGTGCACTAGTGTGAAATCAGCCCTACACTATTATGCCCAGCGTATTGCTTCACACTGACCTGAAGATCTCTTCTTTCCTGCCGCTGGCACCACTCTGGAAAACGCTAGCCAGGATAGGAGGTGGAGTGCAGTTGGTATCACTCCAGGTGGGACAGGAGCCAGCACTACAGAGGAGGCATTGGCTTATGCAGCTCTTGCTCCCTACTACAGCTCCAGCTTTACAAATAGTCCCTCTGCATTTCACTCTGTTTGATGCTCTGGGATGGCAAGTCAGCAAGCGCAGACCGTGATGTACCAGTCACCTGGCCGCGATCTACTGATAGATTGCTGACCCCCACCCTAGAATCTCTCAGTGACCATTAATAAAAGCATAGCACCAGGTTTGACTTCTGTTTGCTGTTGTCCAGCATTCAGCACCGGAAAGTGCCAGCCATTTACCAACAACACCATGCAACGTATGGTGTCACTCGGCCTTCATTGTGCTTTCTACACCTTTACAGCATCGGGGCACACAGAAATAGTTTTCAATTACAAGTAGATAGCATGATTGGTTGATCAACACCATGGGTTGCATGGTTTCACTGACAAATGGCCAGCAGTTTACAAAGAGCAGACAGACATCAGAGATGGTGTAATGCCTTTATCAAGGCAGCTGTGTTACATGGCTGTTTATTGTTCTTAGAACAATCCTAGGGCGAGCTTCTTCTATAATCTTGACCGTACCAGTTTAAGCCAACAAGCTATAAGTGCTAAGAGAAGTTTTGTCCTGAGCAGTAATTTGTTCAATGCTATCACAGAGATATCTAAATATTCGTCAGAATTGTAGAAATGTGACCTCATTCATGATTCCTCACCTGATGCTGTTGTGCATTCATATCTTCTGGACTTAGCAAGTATCCAGCAGGATGAGTATTGTGAGGATGCTGCCCCCCAGTCCTGTATCCTCCCTCCATCCCTTGTAGACTAGGTGCAGCTCCACCCATCAGCACCTCCACAGCATCTTCTGGGGTTAGCGGTAGTCCCTCCCCACCCATCTGTTGCTGTAAAGCTGCCATCCAATAAAGCTCTTCTAGACTTGGACGTGGTGGTCCTGCTGATTCAGGGGGGTCACTGAAGGTGGGTGAAGGTGGAACTGAGCTGCATGGAGTAGAGCCGAGAGATGGAGGAGGGGCTAGGCGTGTAGCCCTTGGCTCAGGGGGTTCCCTCTTTACCTCGAACTTCATTAGGTCAAAGTCATTAAGGTATTCAAGCGCCAAAGGGGTGCTGGGAAGATCTGACAGAGCCATCTGTAGATAAAAAAAAAATATGAAATTAAAAAGAGGGTATATTATAGATAAGTTATTAACATAAGATGCACTGAATGTTATATTCAAGTACCAGCAGAACTAACCAGGCTTTTTCTGCAAAATGCTGATGGCTTCATTAAGATTCCACTGGTCAAGGTGGCCCATACATTAAGGTAGAACTCCAAGCAGATATAAAAATACCATTTATTGCATTTGTGTACTTTTACATAGAACTATCGGAAATACCTAACTCTCTTTGCACTAAGACTCTGTCATACTTCATACAACAAACACTGGAAGAGGAGGGACAGTATTAGGACTCATTCACACGTGTGTCATTACCAGGTGTTGATGAGGCATTTATACTGCATTTTTAAAGCCTCATAACTATCCTTCAATGCCTGCCATTAATAGTACAATGGCACCACACCAGGGCCGGACTGACCATTTGGAAACTCGGGCACTGCCCGAGGGCCCGGGGTCAGTTGGGGGCCCCATGAGATGCCCCTGGTACCTTTTTCATAGGCTTTTTTGAGTTTGGGCAAAGACACAGGGGCCCCATTATCCCCTATTGCCCGGGGGCCCCATGAGTTGTCAGTCCGCCCCTGCACCACACAGTGCTGTTCACACAGGCGCAGTAGCATTGTATTGTGTTGTGTCAAAAATTAACTGCTTCAGACACTTTCACCCCCTTCCTGCCCAGGCCCATTTTCAGATTTCAGCACTGTCAGATTTTGAATGCTAATTACTCAAGCAACACTACCCAAATGAAAATGTTAACATTTTTTTAAGACACAGCTTTTTGTTTTCGTGAAATTTATCCACTTCCAATCCGGACACTTTTACCCCCTTCCTGACCAGGTCAATTTTCAGCTTTCAGCGCTATCACACTTTGAATGACAATTGCGCGGTCATGCAACACTGTACCCATATGAATTTTTTACAATTTTTTTGAGACAGATAAAATTTAATTTTGGTGGTATTTATTCACCGCTGGGATTTTTATTTTTTTTGCTATGTAAATGAAAATGTCCAGAAATTTTGAAAAAGTGTTTTTCTTATATAATTTTGCAAATAAAAATTTTACATTTTTATTTTTTAGATTATTTATTTTATTATTTACTTATTTTTTTACATACTGTCACCCTAGCAGTACAGTGTCACTATGGTGACACTGTACTACTTTTGGGGGGTGATGAAGATTTTTTTTTTTTTTTTTTTACGCTGATTACTTTTACACCCATATAGGATGTAAAAGCAATCATTTCTCTTTCTCTCTGTCTGCATTCTTGCAGCCATTGAGAACTACTGAGTGAGCTGTGATTGGTCACAGCTTGTCACTGATGTGAATAGCCTTGTACCATGTGACCTCTGTGATCATTCACAGATTTCACACGTAGTAAACAATGATGTCACAAGTGACATCTTGCTTACTACTTTCCATGTGATCACTGATTGGCCAATCAGTGACCACATGATCGGGACCTCGTACAGAGGTCCCGTCTGACGATCGGTGTTTTACTGTGTCCGGAGGACACAGCGGGCACCGGATCGCGGTGCTGCGTGCTCCCAGGGAGCGCGCACAAGCAGGGTGCGGGGAGGCCATTTTATAAACGGCCACCCGACCCTGCAGTGCCACCGTCTGGCCGTTTATATACAATGGCCGGTCGGGAAGTGGTTAATCACTACTGGGTTTTTAAGTTTTTGCTATATAAATATGAAAAAATACAGAAAAGTTTGAAAATAACCACATTTTCTTAGTTTCTGGTATACAATTTTGCAATTTTGCTAAGTATTCTTCCTTCATACATTTAGACCAAAGTTTAATCTGCTTTGTTTCTTTGGGAAAAATAACCCAAATCAGTGTATATTATTTAGTTTGGAGTTATAGTCTACATCTATCCTGTTGTACTGACTGCCTATCTCACTTCTTGAGGCCCTAAAATACTGGGACAGTACAAATACCCCCCCAAATGACCCCTTTTTGGAAAGTATACTCCCTAAGGGATTTAGTAAGGGGCATGGCGAACCTTTTGAAGTTCTAATTTTTCCCACAGTTCCTTAGAAAATGAAGAAATTAAATAAAAAAAAAATGTTTTCTTTTTCACAAAATTTTCATTTTAACAAGTTATTTCTCACACACAGCAAAAGCATAGTTGCAATTACACCCCAAAACACATTCTGCTACTCCTCCTCCTCTCACTCCCGCCACATGTGTGAGACTTTTTCACAGCCTAGATGTATAGAGGTCCTAAATCCAAGGAGCACCTTTGAGCTTCCAAGGAGCATAAATTATGGATCTAGTTTTTTTTTCCTTCCTATCACATTTTTAAAGCCCTGGATCACCAAGACAGTGGAAACACCCACAAAATGGCTCCATTTTGGAAAGCAAACACTCCAGGGTATTTTCTATGAAGCTTAATGAGTGAGGGTGATAAGGCTGCACAGGCATGGCTGATCAGGACACTGATGAGGCTGCACTGGGTGGATGACTAGCACAGCTGACCAGGGCTTTGACGTGGCTGCACTGGCGTGGATGACTGATCAGGGCACTGATGAGGTTGCACTGGCATGGGTGATCTGGACACTGAGGAGGCTGCATTGGTGTAGCTGATAAGGATACTGATAAGGCTGCACTGGCATGGCTGCAATGGCGTTGCTCATCGGGACACTGAGGAGGCTGCACTGGTGTGGCTGCACTGGTGTGGTTAATCAGGACACTGAGGAGGCTGCACTGGCATGGGTAATCAGGACACTGAGGAGGCTGCACTGGCATGGGTAATCAGGACACTGAGGAGGCTGCATTGGTGTGGCTGCATTTGCATGGCAGATCAGGATACTGTTGAGGCTGCACTGGCATGGCTACACTGGCATTCCTCATTAGAACACTGAGGAGGCTGCACTGCTGTGGCTGACCAGGACATTGATGAGGCTGCTCTGACCTGACTGATCAGGACACTGAGGAAGCTGCACTGGCGTGTCTGATCAGGAGACTGAGGAGGCTGCACTGGCCTGGCTGATCAGGATTTTGGTGAGGCTGCACTGGTGTGGCTGACCAGGACACTGATGAGGCCGCTCTGACCTGGCTGATCAGGACACTGAAGAGGCTGCACTGGCATGGCTGATCAGGGTCCTGAGGAGGCTGCACTGGCGTGGCTGATCAGGGTCCTGAGGAGGCTGCACTGGCGTGGCTGATCAGGGTCCTGAGGAGGCTGCACTGGCGTGGCTGATCAGGGTCCTGAGGAGGCTGCACTGGCGTGGCTGATCAGGGTCCTGAGGAGGCTGCACTGGCGTGGCTGATCAGGGTCCTGAGGAGGCTGCACTGGCGTGGCTGATCAGGGCACTGAGGAGGCAGCACTGGTGTGGCTGATAAAGATATTGATGAGGCTGCACTGGTGTGGATGACTGGTGTGGCTGATCAGAGCTCTGACAAGGCTGCACTGATGTGGATGACTGCCATGGCTGATCGGGGCTCTGACGTAGCTGCACTGATGTGGATCACTGGTGTGGCTGATCAGGTCTCTGACGTGGCTGCACTGATGTGGATGACTGGTGTGGCTGAACAGGGCTCTGATGTGACTGCAAAATCACAGTATGTAAACACACTCTGTGATCCTGCACAGATCAGCTCTCCTTCCCTTTACCCTGATCTGTGATATGCTGTGTCCAAGGAATTCTCCCGACAAGCACCCCAGAGGGTTCATAGGAGACGCTCACATGGCAGGACGTCCAGGAACACCCTCCCATAACTAGAGTCACACTGAAGCCCTATACTGGCCATACAGCAGACAGAAAATGGTTAGGCAGTATGTGACTTTCATGAGGCATCGATGCTTGTCGCCACCTTCATTGATTTCAATGGTGATGCTCTATAACCTTGCCTTAACAGCACCTAGGGCATTTATGGTATGTTAGTGAAGCATTTATAAGTAAACTGGGGATTGGTGAAGAAACAGTGGAGGCTCTTGTATCCCAGAATGCACTGGGAAATAATAGAGAATTAGGACAGAGTAGCTCCAGCTACTTTCTGGTTGTACAGAGCAGCTGTGTGGTAGTACCATTTACTTCTGTGTGCATAAATCACAAAAGTGTCTAGACCAAATTATAAATTCTTTGAAAATCAGAAAACATCCGCATTTCCTTATCTCTGAAAGTACTCAGATAGTATTGAGGGCAAAGCATCAGCATGATGGCCAGGTAACTGCTATTTTCAGAAGCCAAGGTCAACAGTGGTAGCCTTTGTATTTCTCGTATGACTGGTTTCCAGTTCTATAAAAATTACTAAAAGAGCACTCCCTTTCAGGGAAACGATGGCACTACAGTAAGGCCTCATGCAAACAGGTTGTTTGAATTTCTCCTCTGAACCTCTTTTACTCCTGACAGGAAAAAGAAGGCTTAAAAACCACGCCTAAAGCTGTGTATTGAACATGCATGTAAAGGGGAGCGCCAGTCTCCTCAGCACTTTTCTACAAAAAGCACCCCCGTGATTCTCTTCAGTTGCAGTATATAATTAGGACAGTGTTCTAAGTGTATGTCATTTGCTTACTTGTAAATGTGACATTCCTCAACAGGACAGGCTCCGGCCATTACTAGTGTGGGCATCTGAAGCCAGATCCTACTTTCTTCTGGGATTCGGTGCAACTGGCTACCCAGCATGCACCTCCCAGTCTTGCGCTTGTGCTGTAAGGACACAGCGCGGCACACTGTGTTGTTTGTAGGATGCCACAACAATGGCAACCTGTCAATCATTCCTTCCGATAACGTCACTT